ATATAATTATGATAAATGAGCTAAAGATAAATAAAGATTACGTTACCTCAGAATGTAGTGTACTTACAGAAAAAGAGGGGCAACAATATAGCAAATATTGTACATGGAGCACATGCTTTCAGTTATTTTTCTAATAAGTCCCTTTAAGTGCTTGAAAGCCAAACATTCAAATTTTTTTGTGATTTCACTCTATAATCACTGATCTTACAATATTATCCAAAAGACCGAATATAGTAATTTTCTAGCTACATACTTGATGAACACATTTAAATAACGTACTCCACATACCTATATACTCATATATTCTACTATATTTCGAAACACGTATCATCACCATTTATAAATTCCAATAGTTAACATATATTGAAAATTTTGCAAATTTGACTTGTGGGTTGAATCTGGCATAGTCAGTAGTGATAAAATAGGGTCTTAGACGAAGGATTACACTCCAAGTAAATGAGTAATGATAGCGATATCCGCGACAATTATGTTATGTCATGAATATATTGAACAGCAATTGTGAGGAAGAAAATACTTGTGGCATACCGGCATACCTATATTTCCTATATCTATATTTAGAAATTTTTTATATCTCAGGAAATTGACCAGAATTTTGTTTACTTATTGTAAATTGTGTTAATTTTTATTTTGATATTTATCTTGCTAGAGTACTATTGATATAAGCTTACTTGATTCTGATTTACTGATTTAGTTCTAAATTACTGGTGCCATCCTCGGAACTCATCAAAAAAAAGAAACCGCGTGAACACTGCTAGGCTCACTGCAGTTCTTTCTTGTCATTGGTGTATAGAAAATCACTTAAAGAAACTGCGCATTCCTCTTAATTCTCAGTGCAGAAGTTATGGAAACCCGCAGGAAAAAAAACCATAAAACATTTTCTCTGTGAATGCTCGACTTTGGCGTTTAGAAGAAATAAGTTTTTAGGAAGATACTTCTTTGTTCATCGGTGAAGACGACATACACATTAAAGTAACTGAATTCGTCGGAATGGATTTAGTCCCTACTCTTCTATTTTAGGTGTTCTTGCGAGGAATGTGGTGACAAAATGGCGAAAAATTGTTAATTGAAGTACATGGAAGTTATCTAATGGCCTGCCACTGCAACCAACTAATGCCACTGGAAGTAGTTATAATACAGTAAAGTGGTTTTTCAGAAACCCATTCTGCTTCTAAGAAGCCTTGAGGGCCTTTTGAGCCTTGAGAGAAAAACATTTTGAACCATTTTACATAACCCCTTGATAAAGTTTTACTAGAATACATAATAATCTTCCACTTTAAGGTCAGGGTGGATTTCATTCGAATAATTCATAAATATTAAAGAAATTATATCGGAAGCTTTTCACATTTTTCCCTTTAATTTTAATAAATATTTTTAAATTTATTTTTTGTGAATTTAATATGAAAAACGACTTTTCGAATTTCTGTTCTGATAATAAAAGGTTAATTATGTTTATTATAATTTATGCCTTCACAGCTGTGTGTAATTTTATTTTGATATACACAAAATTAATAAAAATAAAGTGCAATAACTTCGAAAGGACTTTATTTAAATGAATTAAGGATACATTATGCCTTTTATTGTGATATTTTTAAAAATAATTGCTATGAAAAATGAATTTAAAGTGTAGAATGCAGTTGCAGTGTAATAATAAGTTCACCATTACTATTAATTAAATTAACAAAAATGATGTCAATATTTTATTGACAATTAAATTTTAATTAATGTTAAAAACTTAAGTGGAATAAATATGTAATGAAATATAAATGAACTTGTGAACATAAATTTTATAAATAATTTATTAAAATTTAAAATTAAAATAAACATGGCATTTATTCTAAGTTATTTGCCTTGATATCAAGAGATGTTCTAACTCAATTGTTAAACAATAAATATTATTAATTATTAAAGAAATATTATTCCTGTATTTATTATCAATAATTCGAGAATGTGTTAATTGGCTTTTTAGCACCTATTTAAGTTCATATATTATTTACTGAAGGCAATTTAACTTTCAAATATTGAAACCATAAAACTTGCTTAACTTTGCTTTGCCTTGGGTTGGTGTTTAGCATTAAATGTTTAAAATTTTGTTTGACAAATTCACGCTTTAACACTACACCAAAATGCAAAAGAAAAATCAAAAAAAAAAAACCAACTCATATATTTCCATATATACACATCCTTACTAAATCCAAGAACTAAAAGTACATTTTTCAAAGCTTTGCGAACATGCCTCGTCGGTTTTATAGCATCATTTCCGTCAATTTTCAAAAACTTCCTATATGAATTTTCTGACTCTATCAGGTTTTATACGAAACCGAAATAATTTCTTATATTCTTTTTTTATTTTTCAGTTTTCATTTTTCAGTTTTCAGTTTTCAGTTTTTCACATTCTGCGGCAAGATTTTCTCTTGCACCCACGTCGGACTTGAATATGTGCAGTGGTAGAGTGGTAGTAGCTCGCCTGGTACTCGTATTGCGCCTTTCATTTTTATAACGTAAATTTTCGCAAAATTTATTGTTATGAGCTCTTATTTTACACTTATCCTTGCATAAAACACACTTTGCTACTGCAGACGAGTGATAACTCCTGCCTAAATGCCTAACGGCCTACATGGCAGGATATCTGTTGTTGCTGCCACTGCTCTCGCTAGCCATGACCAAAGTCGTCCGTTTAACCGTCTTTGCGTTTTTCCGTTTTTTCGTTTTTCCATCTGTCCGTCTGTCCGTCTGTTCGTCAGCATGTTTGTCTGTTTGTATTGCCTACAGCTCTAAACGTTTGCCCATTTTTGGCAAAAAAAAGAAGCATTTTTTCACCATTTATACTTTTTGTTGCTTCCAGGTTAGTCCTATCGCCTTTACTCTCTAGCAAAATAACTGTTTATCTAACGTTTAAAAGTTGGCTGCATATGCTTTTAGCCATTTTTATATTTCACAATTTTTTCGCACTATTTTTCCCACAAACAACTTTTTTCCATTTATTTTCTCTGTTGCTGTTACTGTCTCTGCCACCGCCACTGCCTCTGCATCTATCTGTATCTATGTTTCAGTTTCAGTTTCAGTTTTAGCTTCAATTTTTAAATGGAACGCCAGCTACTGACTGCACTTCAGGTTACTTATGGCCTGTGTACTTTTTTCTTTTACATAGGTTTTAGCCTAGTCATCGCCATTTCAGGCAACTTAAATGTTGCCTTATTTTGCTTTCTTACCTCTTAATGAGGCTTTCGTCTTTCGATGCCAATTTTCACCTAACCTAGTGGCATCATTTAATCTTTTATTATGATGACAGTGAATGTGCTGAATGTGTAATAGTATACTGAGGTTATATCCGTTACCATTAAACCAGCGCCAAACACGACCAGATATACATTCACACGTGTAATATGGAAGTGTGGGAAATATTTAGGGAAAATGTGAGTACTATATATACAAACATAAATTTTTTTTTTTTTTTTTTTTTGTGAAAGAATACATTTGCACTTATAATAATAATTTCAGAAATTCGTAGATAACAATCATTTATGTTAACTTTTAATTTATACAGGGTGAAACCTAATAAAGCAACATAAATACGGGTCCTGATTTCGTGGTTCAAGAAATGAAAAAATTCATATGGAAGGGAAAAAGACTGAATTGTATTGTTGGATATTTACAATATTTACCATATCATAGGTTGTCAAAATATATATCTAAAAAAATTTACAGTTCAAAAATGGTTAATAACTTAAAAATGCCACTGTCTTCTCAAGGAACGCCTTTCATACGCTTGATACTCGTACTCCTGCCTTTAAAGTTGTCCTTTAGCGCTAGCCTACAAATTGTGCCCAATTCGTGATATGACAACGGACCATTATTTGTGTTTAACTAAGCTTTGGTAAACAAGTTTGTCATGCTAACACCTAACCAAATCTAGAAATGATTCATTCAAACAGCTTAATACCATTTTTGGTGCAGTTAGCTAGCACTTTTGGTTATTAATACACAGAATGGCCTCGAAAGTAAATCAAAAAATATGTGAATTATCGCTTAAATCGCTTAACTAATTTGTCCAAAATACTTTTAAAATTAACAAAATACTGAACATTTTTATTTATAATCAAAATGAAGTAATTAATACAAATCAAAAAAAAAAAAAATAATATTTATTTGGTGCATTCTATGAAACATCATTCAACGCGATATCACGATGGGTGGGACTGCAGTTGGGTCGCACATTGGGAATTGACACATTTAGGTGTGACAAGTAACTATTAGCACATATTTATCTATGATACCACAGATCACAAGTAATATAGAATTGTTTCACCAAGAAGGCGACACTCTTCCTGAGAGATCTGTGGTACCGTTGAATGGTTCTCTTGAAATCAAAATTATTTTTTGGGCTCTGTATCTCTCTCGCTGGTATATTAACCTATGGTACTTATAATGAGTTTTTTAGTTATTTTTTCAATAATTAGCTGAAGCTTAATTTTGTTTCCGGTTTAGTGAATCTGAGAAGTTTTTTATTGGTTCATGACAAGGTAACACACATAAAGGAGTTGGATGATATATTTAACTATTTTATTGAAAAGCTGCCGAGCACTCAAACTTAACTGATTTAAATGAATTGAACAATTACTTCATACGTGTTTTAATATTTATTTTTTAAATATGGTTAATATATTTAAGAGGGTTTTCGAATAGCAAAGAAAGAAAGCACAAACACAAAAATTTATTTAATTTTATTAAAATTTGGCTGACCATACAACACTGTTTCGAGTATTGCCAAGCGCTCATCATCAGTGGTCTTAGGAAATAATCGAATTTTAATT